AAAAAAAGAAATATCCTCTGCTCACCAGTTGATGAGTGACTGGCCCCTAACCGTTAACCATTTATTGCATGGCAATTAATGCTTATTTTACCTCTTAATTCGTCTCCAGTACTTCACTGGTAACAACGATCGTTACTCCGTGAGGAATAATGCATTCTCTCCACCAATCAAAGCCGTGTATTTCCGTGTTATACCCAAAGGCTGGTATAGCTTTATAGCTATGAGGATGGAGCTCTATGGATGCCCAGAAAGTAAGTTCTCTGCCGTGAAGAGAAAATAATTCCCCTCTCTCAGAGCCTTTCTTAAAGCCTCAGAGCTTTCAGCCTTCTTGATACGAATTTTTCGTGGTCTACTTCTCTTATGGTTAATGTTTAACTAGGGTTCAAATCCCTGGGGTAAAGGGCCTTGGTATGTCTTCCTAACCCTTTTACCCCTAGGAATGACCAGCATATAATTTCTCCTTACATTATCTCTACTAAATCAAACATTAAGGGTTGTGAGAACTACTATAGGCAATGACAACATAAGGAAAAGTATAGAGGAAATGTTAGAGAATATACATGCTGATGTTTGGGTATACAAGGTTAATAGCCCTATCACTTTATGATGCATCTTGAATATCTACAGTCAGCGTCAAAATGTGTTGACACATATTTGAAGAGTTCTATTTATATGTAGAATAACACTCCTGTTTCTAACACACTCTAAATCATTGACAAGACCCTCTTTACCCATTCAGTGTTGCCTGTATGAAGCTAAAAGTTCATGGAATCATGAAACAACATTGTTTTTAAGGGAAATGGGGCGAACACTAAGTTAATTTAGCAAGGGCAAAACAGTTCAATGAAAGAGGATTGAAAAGGTCAATGTGTCAACAATTCTGTCGCCGACTGTGGTTTACGGTGTGCTCTTTTTGTTCAGCAATGTCAATTCTAGGTTAAATTAATTCAACAAATACACCAACAAGTTAACACTGCTCCGTTATCTTTTTCTCTTCAGATCGTTGTAACATGCCTCTTGGTGTTGCGGACCGTCGAATAGCAAATCCTCTGATCACTGCGTCATCTTACCACAGTTTTTACTGTGGACCGTGGAATGCTCGTCTGCATCAGAGACGAGTGGGAAGGATGGGAGGATCATGGTGTGCTCGTAAAAATGATCTCAGACAATGGCTACAGGTTAGTGGGTGACAATTTTATTCTTAAATGGCAAAAGTAGTGAGGCTTACTCTGTGACCTTAAGTCGCTTTGAGACCCCTCAGTTCGCTTTAAGTTGCGGAGACTTAAGTCACAAAGGAGGCCTTTGATTGAGGCAGTGGGAGAAAGTAAATTTTTCAGAACTCAGAGAACCGTGAACCGCTGACACCTTCCGGGAATGAGATTGTGTCGAGCCAACTTGACGGAAAAACCTCATCTGTACGCAGTAACGCTAGTTAGTCTGTGAACTCGAGGTTTGTTTACATGTCCTCTCGTTTGATTGACCGAACTTCTCTCAGGTGTTCATGGTTTTTTGAGTTAAATCAAATAAGAGAGAGGATATCATTATTTTCCCAAAATTAGCAAGCAAGGATGTTATCCATAGATTAAGGTGAAAGAAATTTCTAACCGTTGCTCAAATTATTAGGGACCTTTAGCAAACCACGAC